ATTGCGCCATGGACACGGAAATTTGCAGGGAAATTCAGTCACACCTGGAATATGAAGTTTATAGTTCGGAAAAAATAAAATATATGAACATGGGAAAAGCTTTCAATTTTTAAATGAATTCCCTGGCTGAAATATGCTAGCACATCCCTTCAAAATACTATATTCGACTTTCAATATAAAATGTGTTCAACGTCTGATAAATGTTAAATTTGTAACACCTGAATATAAAAAAAAAATCGAATGTAGTTATTAAATCTCGCCGTTGCAAATGGGTTTATAATACACGAGGAATAAGGAATATACGCCTTCCCAACTACAAAATGATCGTAAATTGAAATAACTCTTTATATAGTGCGTGTGCCCGAATATAATATATAATAGCCAAATTCTTCTACGGTCAAACTTGCCTGAGGGAGTTTGAATTAAACTTTTTTCTTAAGTATAAATAAGAGCATCATCTGACATATAAATATATATATATATATATATATATATATATAAAGCCTTGTCAAGCATCTATGTTAGAACTGAAGATCCCCACAACAAAACTTTAATACACATTATTTGATTTTAATTTTTCATACAATTAGTTATTACATTGTAACATTATATATTATCCTATGTTTATGCTTAGATAAGCACCTAATCCATAGCCAATGCCATGAAAAAGTTTCAAAATTTTTTTCAAACTCTATGAAAACTGCAATTAACCTGTCATCTTTTTATAACAAACAGCTGACGATGTTTGAAAAATTGTTTTTTGTGGTATCTAGAACGAATTCCACGAAATCATTGAATTTCATTAAAATAAATTTTTCAACAAATGGCTTAGACATTTCATTCAAAAGTACTTTGGAATATTCATACCATGCTTTCATATGGTAGTGCTGTGATATATCAAATGAACATTTGAGATATACTAAAGATTCTACCACTGTATTGAGTGTGATATAATATTTCTTCACTCGAAGACAGTTAAATGTTCATATTGAACAAATGCGAGGCTTGCCGAGCATTTTAAATATTGAAATGTTACTGTCGTGAGAGGAAAATATCGTTTTACACGAGATGCAGTGGTAGATTAAATATATATACTCGGTGGAATCTGTTTCTCTATTGTTTTATTTAATACAGCATAATAAATTGACATCTTAATTGAATTTTGACCAACGAAGAACTGAGATCGAACACATTGATTATTTTTATGTACATATATTTCACAAACAAATTGTTCATTTGAAATGAAGAAATATAAAACTAATGTCTTACCTGCGGAAATTTCAAAAATGAAGAACATCAAATATACAAACATTTTTGTGTGCATATTGCTTGCTCCTAACAGTACGTCTGTATTACATAAATTCAGTAAACACGTAAATCAAGAGGACGTGCTATCTTTGAAAAATATACCTTAGTTGAGTGATTTGATATTTTTTTCAAACCTGTTGCAATTTGCAACGTCCTTGATTACATTAAACAAAATAATCAATTGTAATTACGTTTTTAGTTAGTTGATAACAAGTGTGGACACAGAATTGTGTTGTCTGATGAAGTGGCAAATTCAACAGACAGCAGGCTCATATGTCTCTCCAAAATTAGTATTTCTGTTTTGTCTTCCGATGGGCGATTTTGGACACCAATAGTACTACGGAAATTTCAGAAAGTCATCTATACTATTAAATGAGAAGACCTCATTTTGTGTGTCGCTTCTCTTCCTTCCACAATAAATTAATCATCATGCCTCTGTGTTCTATAGGTACCATGCATAGTCGCATTTCTCATCTATTCTAATGATTATTCAGTTTGGGTTATTTTGGGAGAAAAACGAAAATAAAGGCGTCCGGGTATTGTTTCCGTCATCGGACGGACTTTTAAGTCATAGACAAGACTTCCGTTTAGGACTGTTTTAATTACACATAATTTTCATAAGTACTCGGGGACAGGACAATTATTTTCGCGTTTATCTGCATGTATACTATGATCATACTACTATAAAATATAGAGACTCTCTATATAATATATCAGTGACCGCCGTGGATGATAAAGTTGGAATTGATAGTAAATAGCAAATATACTGTATTTATGAAAAACAATTATGTATGTTCATTAGTATACAAAAAACGCGAAAATAATTGAAATTTACAGAAAACAAAAAAATAACGGACTTTGGAAAAAAGGGAGCGGGCTAGAAAATATTGTCCTGTCGCAGTACCTATGACTTTTGATACCTTTTGATGCGATTTCGCGAGTGTGTTCTAGTAATACATTAATACTGCTTGTCAACTCTCAAGGTATACAATTACGATCACTTATGTGGTTCTACAATTATGTTGTTTATTAAATTTTGTAATGCTTAAACTCCCAAGACTAAACTAAAATTTAAAGAATTGGAATAGAAATAAATTGTCATTGAATCTTTGAAAGGTGTTAACTCTTCAGAATATCAGTGATTTTTTTTATAAAGATACTAAAATTGTAATGAATACAGAAATCTTTTGAAATTTGCATTTACAAGTTATAAAAAGCCTCTTAATATCATTAAATTAATTAATTAAGGCAAATGTTAAACACACGTCATTTGTTCATCTCGGTTGCGAAATATTTCATAAGACAGTTAATTTCATGAAAATAGAAATGAAAGTTATACAAAATTCGGAGACGTCTTGTATTGATAAAAGTAGAAATATCCAACTCTTTGAAGTTTAATTTGAACATTTATGGACCGTGCTTATAATGACATTAGGAATAAGAATGCATAGTATTTATCGTTGAAATCTCGTTTTGGAATTATTTCCAAAACATGTGATACATGCGGAAAATATCAATGAATTTTAAAAATTTGATAACAAGCTTAACTCTGTGAAAAAAATGTGTATTAACAATAAGTAGTTTTTGAGTAATTTTTTTTATTTAATTTAATACAAATCAAGTCAGTCTCATTAGTCAAAATGCTGAGAAAATAGATGGAGGGGTACAAGAAATGATTTTATCAGAAACATGTATGTGGCACCGTTAAAGTCCACAATTCCTCTAAAGTCCACAACACCGCTAAAGTCCACAACAAATTTCCGCTATAGTCCACAACGCCGTTAAAGTCCACAATTTTTCCGCTAAAGTCAACAAAATGACCTCTGATATAGTCCACAAAAAAACACCGCTTAAGTCCACAATAACAAGTTCCGCTAAAGTCCACAAAAAAACACCGATAAAGTCCACACAATTTTTTTTTATTATTATCTAATAATCAATTCGCTTTTTTTACTCCCGATTTTATATAGATCTAAGAAAAATCACGGATTTTTGTTCTTGGAAGGTATTTTTTATCAGCTTGAATTATATTTTTGATAAATAAAAAGATTATAGTATATTATTTTGATACCCATAAATTTGATCTTTGTATTGCGATTTTCTATCAATGAAACAGTCAACATTTCTGAAAAGTTTTCTAGCTATGGTGCTCTTTTTTTTATTTTTTAGTAAACATTTGTACACCCACAAGAAACTCCAACATAGCGTCCTCTTCATGTATATGCTGGAGACACTGACATATGTTGGAGCCTATATTTGACATTGAAATTTCCTTTGCAAATTCTATAAAACATAAGAAATAAATCCATTCAGTGTCTGTTATGATCCACAACACCGGACCGGACCGTACGCGTACTTTTTCAGTACGCTCACAGTCTGTCAGATTATAAGAAGTTTTCACTCGCAGACAAAAATTACAATAAACCTGAATACTTGAATCTTTAACAAAACATAGTTTATCTATTACTTATAATTGCAATTGACTTTGAACTACATTTCGATTTCTTTTAGGTTGATACTTTGTTTCTTTTTCTTTTTTTTTGTCTTAATTATTTTGTGTGATTATAGTCAAATAGTCGGAAATATGTTCATTGTTTCATATGTATTGGTAAATCAGACTCCATACGATATTAATATTTGCGGGTAAGAGCACGAATTAACTGGTATGCTTGAAACAACACTGTACGTATGAATTTTACATACAATTTGAAGCAGAAATTGATTTCACAATCCTAAATAAAATGGAATTTATAATATGTACAAGAACTCAATGACTTTTGAAATATACATCGATTTCTTCGAAAATATTAAAACACAAATAACAATTTCGAAATAATGTACATAAAAAGTCAAAATGTCCCAAATTAGTGAACAATCATAGATCTGAATGTTTTTTTTTTCTTCTGTAACATTTATCGACAATATAAACGGGTGTGGAGATTCAAGAGAGTAGAGGTAAAGGCTATAAATCAAATCTGATAAATATTTGTAATGTTTCATGTTGAAGCGTCATTATTTTATAAATTTAAGGTAGTACCCAACACCTTGACTAATATTAATTTGGCTCGTTTAATTTTTATAAAATTTTGACAAAATGTTTACTTTGACCCTTTGACAAAAATATAAAAATTTCAAAAAATTTGAACCAACCACTTTATCAGAAAAATTTCATTGGTTATCTAGCAGTTTGACAAACACTAATTTTTATCATTGAGAAGCTTAATATTTCCTTAACAATACAACGTAATTAAAACGTTTAGCTGATTTTTACAGAGTTATCTCCCTGTAGTGTTAGGTACCACCTTAACATTATCTTTTACCATAATAAAACTAATATTTATCTATAAGGCGCTCCGGGTAAATCAGGAACATATATATTGGATATATTGTTCCCAGGAAAAACCAGATCTAGATATTCATGTTTACACAAATATAAAAAATGTTCAATGTTTCATTCGAACAAACGTTCGTCCGAAAGAATAAAACAGGAATTACATATTTTTTTTTACGCATATGAAAATATATACATTTTGTAAGTAAATACACTAAACGAAAGAGTAAGATGAATTGAATATTTGCACGAAAGTATGTTAATGTTTATGTTCTCAATCATCGAAAGAAGAAGAATTGATTTGATTTCAAAAAGTGCACGGTGTATAATCTCGAATAGACTAAGTTATATATTATTAAACTTTGGTTGTTGAAGGATTTTATTGCAGGCATAATACCCTTCAAAGACCAAATTTTCAAATGATACTTAAACTCACACAATGAACATAAACTATTGTTTTGATAAACTATTCGATTGCTTGTTTGATATTCTCCCAAAACACAACTCTTTCGGTAGCGTCGCTTGGATATTCAATGTAAGACTGCTGTTGTACCACCTCCAGCATCACCAAAGGAAGATTTTTCGACGGAATATTTTCATAAAATACAAGAAATAAAATGTTCTGTCCATCTTGGGAATAAATACTCTCCATTTTAGCCATGTTAAATTCAAACATGCAATAATATGAATCCAAAAAAGATTGAGTGACAATGCAGATTGTTTTTTTACTATCGTGTATACCATTTGTTATATTTTGGGTGATATCTTCTCCAGCAACAAAGTCACGCTGATGTATACACAGACTTAAGTTTCTGTTCATTTCTAATTCAGGAATGCATTCGTTTTTAACAAAAGCAGATTCCTCATCTGCATAGGAAATAAAGGCATTATATTTGTAAACATCATTTTCCTCCATTTGCTTGTATTGCTTGTACCTATTCCTTGTCATATAGTACACATAACGCAGCCTCAAACGATATCGGTATAACAATCCGCCCGATAGAATTACAAAAGCAGTGATTATTGCCAAGGAAATGCATATGATCAACACAGTATACGTTTCACAGTCTTTTTGAAGCATGGACACGATATGTTGAAGTCGTTTTAAATTCATAACAGATTCGTTTTCCGTTTTACATTTATACGAATGAATATCATTAAAAGAATCATAGTTTTCGTGCATCCATTGAATAAAGGTTAATGACGAACAGCTGCACTCTAACATATTTTTTGACAAATCTATTTTTTGATTGATCTCTTTAGCTATTCTTGAAATATTTTGCATTGTCATGACGTTGGAAAATTTCTTAATCTTGTTTTTTGATAAATCAAGAAATCTTAGCTTAACCATTTCTGAAATATCTGGAGTAAATCTGTTAACGCATTGTTGCTGAGATTCATTGTTTGAACATTACAATTGCCATCAAATACTTGAAATAACAAAGTGTGAATACCGTTTTGTGATAGGTCAACGTTTTGCAATGCGATTGATCCTGGAGTTTTATATCCACCTTTATCCAACATTATCCCCAATTGGTTTTGTCTTAAATTCAACGTTAGTAAATCACGCATATAAAAACTACTTGTGAAAGAAAATTATAAGAAAAATCTAAAACTTTTAGCGTCCTTGGAAGAATTCCAGTAATACCTCTATGAGTACCAACAAAGACGTTGCTGCTCATATAGATTTATGTTATGTTTTTCTACGTAATCAAACATATGGAAAGGAGGGTATGCTGTGTTATAAAATGTTTCTGACATATTTATCTTTTTTACTTTCGTCTCTTCGAAATCAACTGCTAAATATCTGAAGTAGTTGAAATCACAAACAACTTTGGATATATCTAGATATTTGAAATTATTTAAGTGACAAAAATTACATCCCTTTCCAAACTGTGATATTATGCACCCGGGCAAATGTATTATTTCCAAGTAAGGTAAATATATAAACGTATTATTGTTCACCATTTCCAGTTTACATGTCCCTGCCTTCAATAGTCTGAGATGTGCAAGGTACGAAAACTCTTTCCCAAAGGCTATGCTCTCTGTTGATGAAATAAGATCAGTTTCCAAATTTCGTAAAGAATGAAGTTTTCGAATCATATCACCAGGTAGAATGTTTAGTATTTCTTGATGTTTTACATTTAATAACGTGAGCGATTGCAATGGATTTAATACAGTTGTATCAAGCGACTCTTCGGTATAATTCAAGCGATTGGCTTCGAGCGAAAGTTTCTCTAATTTACCAAGCCCTGTAAACGAATTTGCCTCTATACGTATCAGTTTATTATGTGACAAATCCAGCTCCAATAAATTTGTTAAATTCTTAAATGTGTCATTCTGTAGAAACTCAATATAGTTAGAATTTATATTGAGAATATCTGTTTCTGGTGGGAAGTTTGGTATATCTGTCATGTTAGCATTTGAGCAATCAACATGTCGCAAACTCTGATCAATCCAACACCTGCACTTAGTGTTGAAAGAACAAACATTATCACGCTGGTCAATGGTTTGACAAAGATATGGTGTAGTCAACAGTATTGGAAGAAAGATAACCAGTCCCATGCTATGTTAACGTAATATCTGTAAGAGAAAACATTCAATTACAAATTTCTTTATATATATATATAACTAAATTGTATAGAAAAGGGGTAAAATAAAATAAAAAAGCAATGTAATGCAGACAAAACAATATTCTAACAAAATACCGAATTTCAAGGTAAATTCACAAATGGGAAGTGTATATAGAAGCTGAAAAAAATAAAACACCCGACTATATCAACCAACGGAACGACTATAAACAATAAGTGTCATATCTTTAAACACTTCCAGAGAAAAAAACGATGAAGTCATAAAAAGATTATTTTTTTAATTAATTAAAAATTCTTCACCATTTCTTTCAATTTAGAATTTTTATTTATATATATATACTCCGTACAAGTGACAAACGAAATTGAAAGACAGTGAGAAAGAAATTCAAATAGTTAAAATGACACAGTTTATGTGAAATAATACACACGAATAGAGAAATTCAACCTGGAATTAGTCTTCGCATTCGAAGCCATGAAATGGAATTGACGTGGTATATGACATAAACGAATGTATTGAGAAAAAAAACATACATAACATCAATATTTTTTTAAGGAAATAAAATTTCGTCATATTTTCTTAAAAATTCTTTCAAATCACAATTTGCAGTAAACAGATTTCCACATTACTGGCAAAAAAAATAAATGAAAAGCCACAATAACTGCAATTTAAAATTCATAATATAGATAAATTCAACCAAAAATCATGCCACACTTATGAGGGTAGGAATGCTCTTTGCCTTCAGCCGTAAAACAGTAATTTTAGGCTACCGTTAGCATCAAATAGGTTAAAATTTTATCGTGATTCGTCAAAATATCCAGATCGAGATTAGTCAGTGGTTTCAAATAATTATCGTTACCTTTACATTGCTTTATTTTTGGAGAAAAAAATTAACGTGATTCGTCAAAATCAGTCGATTTATTTTTTTTTTCGTCTAAAAGAAAGTGTACGTTTTATCGTCATGCACCAAAATTTACCGATAACGTCAAGAATTTGTACCGTTATTCGTCATACCCAAATTACGACCCTCATTAATGTGATATTTTCAATTGAAAAAAAATACGTCGAATATGACGTCATCCGTCAAGGAAACGGAAATGAGTTGTGTGTGCCTAATTAATAGTATGTCATGGGACTGAATAGATAAGCTGCACATGTGTGTTGTGAGGCAATTGATATCAAGTTCGAAATGGCTATATGTATGCCCGGTATTTCTTTGGTCCGCCTTTTTAAGAATAGGTTCGCAGACATTTCCCTCATCCGTTGTGTATGTATTTCGTGTTTTTCATGAGCTTTCAATGATACAGTTCTGTGCAACAAATCGGAACTGGTAGTTTCTTATTACTAAGGAAAGATAGAATAAGGTTCAAATACCAGATTAGGTGCTTTCTTTGAGGCCCGGTATCTCAATTTTCCCGCTGTTGAACTCATTTTTTGTCTAATGAGGGAGGCTGATTGTGATTTTTATGTTTATTTTTAAATGTTAACGAAGTGATATCGAGTTTTTTATTTATTCTCTTCTTGGGAGCCTCGGTGGTCGAGTGTTAAAGTAGTTCGTCTAAAGTGATTACTATCCTTTCTTAATTGACTAGCATTTCCAGTATTCCTGCTGGTAGGTTGACAGTTCTCTCTTGGTACTTCGACTTCCTCCGCCAATAAAAGCAGGCAGCCACGATCTAACCAAAAGTCTTGAAAATATCGTTAAAAAGCCAACAATCAATCAATCAAACCGATTTTTTAATAGAATGTGAAAAAGAGGTTAACGATACCAAAGGGACATTCAAACTCACAAGTCGAAAATAAACTGGTAATGTCATGGCTAAAAGGGAAAAGATAAACAACAGTACACAAAACACAACATAGAAAACTAACAACTGAGCAACACAAACCCCACCACAGACTGGGGTGATCGTTGGTGCTCCATGAGGTAAAACAGATCCTGCTCCAGATGTGACACCCGTCATGTTGCTCGTGTATGTACAAACCCAGTGATAAATCCAATTCGGTAACTCACATACGGGAAAAACGGGACGGGATTGTGGTTATGACAATTAGAACATATCAGTGAAACAAATGTTCCATAACGGTCAACCAACTCAAGAGGGCGTCCGTAAAAATTAGAAAAAAATGATATCAACTTCACTACTTGGAATTCTTGGTTTAATAGCTTCCTTGTGAGAGAACCCTCTTTTAGAAAAATTATGATAAGAAATACAGTGTATCAGCTGGTAGATATATGTTCCGTATACATGCGCTGCTGGAATGTTACAACATAGACATTGAAAGTTCACAATTGGAAGCTGAAATCATTCCTGTTAACGTAAAGTTTTTTTTTCAACCGACCCTCATAGTCAATATCTAGATGTAAGTCAAGATATGAGACAGAACACAAATGTATCTGTTGTATCTGTTATCTCAAGTTCGATTGGAAATATGTTGTCAAGTAAGAAATCAAGCCCCTTGATAATGTCAGTTTTAGAGATATTTTTTTGTTAGAATCAGAGTGCTTTTAAAAAATGTTCACATTTTTTGAAGTTGGAATCTTCTGTTTTGTCGTAAATTTCTGTTCTCAGTCGATCCTCACTGTCAATTTTCTGGACATAATCTGTTAACTGTAAAACGACGATTTCAGACCGTATTTCATTATAATGATCCATTAGTCTAACACATGAATTGGGTATGTGGAATCAATGTTATGTAAGCTTTGCAGGTAGAAGAATATAATTAAAGGCGTTCATGTTAATATAAGAAACATACAATTTACCTAGGGAATGTATCAATCTAAAGTGGCTATTAAGCAAACATAAATGCAAATGGATATTATTAAGTACAAGGAGTAAGTTTAAAAATTTGAAACGAAAATTTTATATAAATTTTGCACACAAGGAGGTATTTACAAGGGATTAAACAAATTATGGATGATTGTATAGATCGAGTATAAGTAATGAAAAATATTTCCTCATACCT